GGGCCACAGATTCCCATCTGGTACCAGGGCAGGTCTAGAAGCTCTAGCTGCAGGTACTGGCCTGGTGTCAGGAGCCACAGTAAAGCCCAGTACTGGATTCCAAGGCAAAGTCATCTGCTTATTTTTATGTATGTATGTATGTATGTATGTATGTATGTATGTATTTATTGAGTCGGAGTCTCACTCCATTACCCAGGCTGGAGTGCAGTGGTATGCTCACAGTCACCCCGGCGTCAATCTGCTGGGCTCAGGTTATTCTTCCACCTCAGCCCTCCAAGTAGCTGGAACTACAGGTGCATGCTACCACGCCCGGCTAATTTTGTGATTAGTTGTAGAGATGAGGTCTTGCCAAGTTGCCCAGGCTGTTCTTGAATCCACGGGCTCAGGCTGACACAGCACCTGAATCCCATGAACACTGAGACCAGCATAGCACTAGGGCATACCTAAGGCCCGTGGCAGCTACGGCCTGCCTGCCACTGAGGTTTACTCTGGCCTGAAGCTGCTACGGTTGGCCAGCCAGGTCAGGTCGAGAAGTTTCATCAATGAGTACTGGCTCATATCATGGGCCAATACGTTCTGCCTCATGCTAGGTTTTAATGTGACGTGCCCAATACTGGGATCTAAGGCAAATTTCTGTGGTTAATTCCCTCTCTTTTCCCCAGACAGTTACCTTTCTCCATGCTGCACTGCTTGAGGTTGGAGGAAGAGAGATATGGGTAATGTAAAACTGTCTTTTCTACCTTCTTCAAAGCATCTTCTATTCTTCCTGTTTTATAACCCGGCACTCTTACCTGGTTTCTTTAGCTCTTATGAAAGTTTTTTTCATGCATGGAAAATTAGATATGATTTTACCAATTGGAGTTGGGAGCTGTGTGTGCATGAGTGTGTGTTTGTGTAAAAGGTCCACATCTACATGGTATGAGGTCATCTAGGAGCAACAGGAATCAAGATGAAAAATAATAGTTGTTACTGTTCATTCACATCATCTTGTTCCATGATTGGAGATATTAAGCTTCAGTGGTCAAAAGAGAATTGAATACAACCAAGGCATAAAATCCCTGGATATGCCATCTCCCTGTTCCCATGGGAGGTAGAACAAACTTTTGCCAGATATGAGGTAAAAATGCAGATCTCCAGCTCTCTAAGTCACTGTGCCCCAGGGTAGGATCACAGTGAAGACTATGTTAAAAAAAGAAAAGAAAAGAAAAGATCTGGATTATGAAGGAGCTACACAGGGAAAGGAGAAAAGTCAAATGTAGGCCAGTGATTTTAAAACTTTCTCAAGATAGCCTTGAGAGTGTTGGGTGGTGTGTTTGCTGTGTGTCAAAAAGGAAGGAAGGTATCCCAGGACTAGTGTAGCAATGAGGAGGGAAACCAGCATCAACTAATAACGTTCCAGCCTCTCCTTTTCACCTAGTCTCACTCCTCAGCCTGATTTATCATTGTATATATTAGTGTACTGAGAAGGGCTTTCAGACTTGAAAGCGTGAACTACCAATCTAGATGAAATCTCATTTGTGTGTCACAACACGTCTCCTTAGGTGGATAGTGGTGGGGAACAGGACAGGACACTTGACTCCAGGGTCTTAGTCATTTCTGCTCCTGATTGGGACCCTTCCTCCTTCCAGATGATCCTCACACATTCTGACTCAGCTCCATCTGTCACCAATTTCAAACCTCAACTCTGATTCTGCCAGTTATACTCCTATGATTTGTGTCCAACATATCTCCAAATTCAACTTTTATTTTTATTTTTATTTATTTATTTATTTTTGAATTGGAGTCTCACTCTGTCACCCAGACTGGAGTGCAGTGGCCGCTCCTGGCCACCGCAGCCTCGACCTGCTGGACTCCGGTGATCCTTCCACCTCAGCCTTCCAAGTAGCTGGAACTACAGGCACGTGCTACCATGCCCGGCTAATATTTTGATTTATTGTAGAGATGAGGTCTCACCAAGTTGCCCAGGCAGGTCTCGAACCCGCAGGCTCAGGCACCAAATTCAACTTTTAGATTTAAAGATGATATACCAGAGTGATTAAAAAGCATCAGCTCTTTAAACTAATCACTTCCCTAAATCCCCTCATCTCAGCTAAGTAACACGAAGAATAGCCATCCCTATCTCATAAGACTGTGTTAAGTTTTAAATGAGATAATGCACACCAGGTGTAGCACAGTCCCAGCACACAGTGAGAGCCTAATCTTTGGTTAATTTTTTTATTATGACAATCCATTCCTTTAGCCATTATTCTTGGCAGGGTGCAGTGGGATGATGCCTATAATCCCAGTACTATGGGAGGCTGAGGCAGGAGGATTGCTTGAGACCACGAGTTCAAGGCCTGCCTGGACAACATAATGAGACTTCTTCTCTACAAAAACAAAAACAAAAACAAAAAAAAAATAGTTGGGCGTGGTGGCACGTGCTTGTAATCTTAGCTACTCAGGAGACTGAGGTAGACAAATTGCCTGAACCCAGGGGGTCAAGGTCTGGTGAACTGTGATCTTGCCACTAGACTCCAGTCTGAGCGACAGAGTGAAATCCCTCAAAGCAAAAACAACATCAACAATAACAAAAACACCTGGAAAATAATGGCTTTTTTCTCAGATTCCTTCTTTTCAAACTTTTATAGCAAACAATAAAACTTACGAATACTTTTTTTTATTAGAACCTTTACTTCTCTTCCACGACTAGACTCAGCAGTCTCCTCTATTATTTGGTATCATGATCTTAGGTAGATTACTTAAATCCTCTGAGTCTCGACTTACTCACTAATAAAATTATGGTAATAAAGATTCCCTCCATAATGAGTTGTTATGAAGATCACATTCCATATGATGAGCTACTATATATCATGATCTAATTATAAGCCTGGCACCGTAATACACAAAAACACATACCACACAAAAACACACCCCACAAACACACATCAGAAAAGCATACATATTCACAAGAGATTATATACACAGTTGTCCCTGGAACAACACAAATTTGAAATGCACAGATTCACTTACACATGAGTTTTTTTCCTCCCTCTGCCACCCCTGAGACAGCAAAAGCAACCCTTCTTCTTCCTCCTCCTCAATCTACTCAACATGAAGATGAGAACGAAGAGCTTTATGATGACTCACTTCCACTTAATCAATAGTAAATATATTTTTCTTACAACTTTCTTAATAATATTTTTTCTCTAGCTTATTCTATTGTAAGAATACAGTATATAATTCATGTAATAAACAAAGATGTGTTCATCAACTGTTTAAGCTATTGGTTAGGCTTCTAGTCAACAGTAAGCTATTGGTAATTAAGTTTTGGAGGAGTTAAAAGTTATATGTTGATTTTTGAACTGTATAGGGATCTGGAACACCTAACCACCATGTTGTTCATGTGTCAACTGTGTGTGTGTGTGTGTGTGTGTGTGTGTGTGTGTGTGTGTGTGTGTGTGTGTGAAATCTCATTTAGCACTCAAACACCTTGTGAGGCAAATATTATTTCTGTCTTAAGAATGAGGAGACTAGAGTATCAGATGTTAACCTACATAGTCAAAGGCACAGAGTAAATATTTTTTAGAAGAAAAATTCCAGATGAGATCCACTGGACTCAATGCTCGTGTTTGAACCACTAGTTATGATATCTCCCAGTCATGAGAGTACAGATTTTAGGGGTCATGTATTATTTGCTTAATATCTTTTGTAGATGCTATGTTTCAGAATGTACTAAAATAATCCTGCCAAGCAATAAACTTATGGAAGAGTCTAATACCTTCCCCTAAGTTTTCATACATATGTCCTTAAGCTGAATAGACAAACAGCTGCCATTTGGACCACTATGCTTGGACAATACATTTTACAAACTAATGTCAGCAATCCATAACATTGACCATCGGTTCATCAATAATAATAACAATCATGATAACATAATTAAATGCACGATGCTTTAAAACAGACTTTAAAGTATGACTCCAAATATGTGAACTACACCGGAGCTAGCAATAGGCCCCATCGGAGAGGGGATGGAGCTCAGGCTCTGGGGCAGTCTCTGTGCTGTTTGCCAGCTCTTCCCGTTCTCCCTCATCTGACCTTCAGGGACAAGGTAAGACTGCATGCACACCTTACATAATCTCTATGGTTGGACAAGGCCACATGATGACCATATGACCATGAGGGGCAGTGACAGTGGTGTTGCTTCGGGGCTGGAACGTTTAATTGCTGAAAAGGGAATCCCTGGAGAACCCATCTTCACCTCACCTTGACAAGAATATTCCAGATCATGAATACTCTGTCCACTTGGTATTCAGAGTGGAGGCAACACAGCACCTTCAGTGGACCATAATACATGTGTGCTCAAGTAAGAAACAAATACACTTGTTTAAGTCATAGAAATATGGGGGTTATACGGTACCATAACATAACCAAGCTTTCCTAATAGATACAGGCCCACAATGTATAAATGACTTGTTCAAGATTATACAGGTAGAAAATGTCAAAACGCATGTGTCAATGCTTTTCCCCACACCTCATATATCCAAGGTCCTGTTCCTTCCACTAGGCCCCAGCTTGCTTCATCGGTTCATTGCCTCGAAAATAAAACCATTTTTTCCCAGGAGCCAATATAGAAACATAGGTATGATTTGCTTACTCTGATGGCTTTAATATCTTCCATTTTTGTTGAATAAAGGAAGTTTGAAATTTTCACTTATTTCATAACTAGGCCAAGCAGCCCACACTTAATCTCTTTTAGTATATGAAGTTCAGAATTCTAAACAGTCTCCACCTATGGTACTGAAAAAAATACTTCCTACCTCAAATAACCAATTTGTTGGTCAGATAGGAAGTAACAATTAAGTAATAAGGACTACAGCACCGCCCAGGGTGTGACATTGTGTTTTGAGATCCTTCCAGAGGCAACACTGACTCTGGCTGACCTCACAGGAAAGGTGGAGAAGCCAAGACTTGCCATATAAACATTGCCCCTTTCCCAGGACATGTTTGATGGAACCGTGGTGACAATCTCAGAACAGTCTTTGTATCATAGCCATCCCACCATGAAGATCACTGGGGGTCTCTTTCTGCTGTGTACAGTGGCCTGTTTCTGCAGCAGCTTGGGTGAGTTAAGAACAGTGTCCCCTAGTCATTATGCTTGTTTTCACAAATAATCCCTCCTGAGATGTGAGCAGCTGGGAAAAATGTCTGGTCGTGTGAATTTAAAGTGTACCGATTTGTAATAGAAATGAGCTACGTCTGAGAAGGAGAAATTTTATGCTCCAGCTGGAATTAAGGGATTTGGGTCTAATGTCTTCCTTTTCAGGTATTCTTATTTGCCTCATAGACCAAAATAAATAAATAAATAAAGGAATTTCTCCATAAGTTTTCCATTTCATATGAATACTGGAAGTTTTCAATGTTATTTCATACTATTCCTTAGTGCAAAGATGCAGAATAACTTCTATGTTTCCCCAAACCAGTTTGGGAGGATCAAAATAAAACACAATCCCCCAAAAAGCCAGGAACCAACAATTAGACATTTATATGGTGAAAATTACTTAATTAAGATAAGTTTCTAACATTTTAAAGACATTCTACTTGTATTCCTTTATATCAATTAGGATAGAAAAGATATCAGACTCTTCAGGCTCTTACTTCTTAGTGCTAGCTGAATTTGAACCTTTATCAAAAGCACTATGAGCCCCAGAAAATGTCCCTTGTTCAATAAGAAGAGGAAATTTGGATAATTCTTTTACCCAAACCAAGGACTTACCTAGCCCACTGGCCATTCAACTTCCTCAACAAACAAGGGATTTTGCGTAAGAATAGGGAATATGTGGGGACTCATTCCTGAGGAAATGCTGAGTCTTTAATTACAAGATAAAACATTAATTAATGGTATTTCAAGTTTGCTTTATTTTTTAACATCTCCATCTGTGTTTCTCTTTTAGAAGCTGCTAGTCTGTCTTTAACAACAGTGAGTATGTTGAATAACATTTTAATTTCAATTGCTACTGACTATCATTTAGTCAACAGATTCTTATGAAACATATTCAAGATTAATTCAGTATGTTTAGGGGATCAGAGAAGGGGGTAAACACAGATGAAGAAATGGCCTCTGCTCTTTCAAAAGCAGTTGAAGAAATGTGACATATATATAAATAGCCAAATCCTTTAAAAAATTACAGCATTAAAGGAGAGAGGCTGGGCTCGGTGGCTCAGCCTGTAATCCCGCGCCTTTGGGAGGCTGAGGTGAGTGGATTGCCTGAGCCCACGGGTTCGAGACCCGCCTGGGCAGCGAGACCTTATCTCTACAATAAATCAAAAAATCAGCCGGGCATGGTAGTGCATGCCTGTAATTCCTGTTACTTGGAAGGCTGAGGCGGAAGGATTGCTGGAGTCCAGCAGGTCAAGGCTGCGGTGGCCGGGAGCGGCCACTGCATTCCAGTCTGGGCAACAGAGTGAGACTCCAACTCAAAAAAAAAAGGAGAGGGAGAGCTGACTGCCAATTGAGAGATTGGTAACATTTTCATGGAAAGGACAACATGTAAGAGGCAGGGCAAAATTACTTGATGAATTCATTGCACAGGCTCTGGATTCAAATCCCAACTCTACCATTTGCCAGCATCTACCTTATGCAAGTTCTTTCTCTTTTTAAGTTTTTATTTCCCCACCTGTAAATAGAGGTAATAGTAGAACTTACTATATTGAGTTGTTCTGATGATTCAACAACACTCATGTAAGATTTGTTTCGTGCCTAGACATGTTCAGTAATTGTTAACTGAGTGTAGTATAATAGTAAAAATAGAAGTGGTACTTAGTGTCATAGTGGTTATATTCATACTTACAGAAGAAGGCACAGCGGCTTCAGAATATCTGAGCTGGGACTTTGAGCTCTCTTTGCCTGTTCAATAGAGGCCAGTGTAGCCTGGCTTGGAATTTGGGAGAAAAGTAGAACATTCTCTTGTGTCTGACCCAGGTGGACTGCAGCATTTACAAGAAGTACCCAGTGGTGGCCATCCCCTGCCCCATCACATACCTGCCAGTGTGTGGCTCTGACTACATCACCTATGGGAATGAATGTCACTTGTGTACCGAGAGCTTGTGAGTACCTACCTCATGGGAAGAAAAAGAGATCTGGGGCCAATGTTCTCCACTGCAAACCCCTCTTCTTTCAGAATCTTACTTAAATCTCCATAAGCAGTGCTTATTTCTACCCAGTGCAGCTGGTGGGAATAGAAAACTGACTGTTGCAGAGTCAGACCAGGGCTGGGACACCTGCACTGGCAGCTTGAACTGGTCCAATCCCATCACAGTACCTCCAATTCCTGTCTGCCAACTGTGAGAATCCAGTAAGACCACGAGTTCTCAAACTGCTATCTCCGGACCACAGAGGTTCTGTAGAAGCAAGTCAGGAGTCACCAGAAAGGTTCAAGTGACCATTTGGGCTAGTCTCCAGCTCCAAGTTCAACTGTTGATTGTTTTAAGTAGTGGAGTTTCAGACAATATCTTGTTTAAAGAAAGGGTCATGAATCCCACACCAAAAATCATCAGAAACCACTACACTACTCTGCATGAAGTCTAAGATACTTAATAGCCTTAATATAGTTTGATTCTTAGATGGACTGTGGCTAGAGTTTCTTTATCTTCAATTTCTTAGAGGCTCAGTAACTGCAGCTTTGAGAGGAAATAAGGCTAACAAAATGATTGTTTTTTCTTTATCTAAAATAAGGGATGAGGGCTGTCTGTACTTGGACCAGAACCTCAAGGACATATTTTGTTTAGGTATTTTGTTTGGTCCACACAGTGTTTTTTTAAAAATGTAGCTAGGTAGATGTCACTTCTTTTTTTTTTGAGTTGGAGTTTCACTGTCACCCAGACTGGAGTACAGTGGCCGCTCCCAGCCACTGCAGCCTCGACCTGTTGGGCTCCGGTGATCCTTCTGCCTCAGCCTTCCAAGTAGCTGGAACTACAGGTGCACGCTACCATGCCCAGCTAATTTTTTTGATTTATTATAGAGATGAGGTCTCGCCTGCTCAGGCGGGTCTTGAACCTGTGGGCTGAGGCAATCCACTCACCTCAGCCTCCCAAAGGTGCGGGATTACAGGCTGAGCCACCGAGCCCGGCTTAGATGTCACTTCTTTGGTACAAGACATGCAACTTGCACTTGCTGTGTTACACCAAATCCGCTGTGATCATTGTTAGGCCACTGGGTTTTGGCCACTTATCTTAGATCTTGTATTTTTCTTTTTTGTGATTATCTTAAGTTAGAATATCACGTTAGACCCTGAGTCCAGAAGGACATGTCTATATATTTATTCCTATTCGGGAAGTTTTAGTTCATAAAATGAAAGATTCTGTAACACAGACACACACTGGACCGTTGGCTATGTTCAAGAGACACTAGCTATGTTCAAGAGACACTGAAAACATGGTAGAAGTCTTCCTCATGAATGCAAGATCCAGCTTTACCACAGAAAATGCTGACGGACAGGCCCTCTCAACTTCCTTTGTCAGAGTTCTCCTTCTTTGCCATTTTAAGATACTGGGTTATCAGCCAAGCTCTGGAATCAGAGGAGGCAGCAGATGGGTAAAATTGTCACTGGACTAGGGAAATTATGCTTCTGCCTCTGTCAAAAACTGCCTGTGACAAGGACAGTTCTTTTCCAGGACTCAGGTTTGCTTTTGTTTTTTTCTTTCCATTCTTAAAACAAAATTCAGCCTCATTATCTCTTAGTTCCTTTCAGCTCTAATATATGAAATTTCCTCTACTATTAATGAATCTTGTTACTTGTGTCCTTCCTTTAGGAAAAGTAATGGAAAAATTCAGTTTCTTCACGAAGGAAGTTGCTAAATTCTCCATGGACAAGATCCTCATCAGCATCTTCATTATCCCTGGGCTCTGACTCTCTTTCATCTTCGTTGATGTTCTGGGTAGGGCAGAGCCAGAATCAGAGGCACCTCTATTGAATAGAGAAAGTCTCTGGATCCCCCTACAAACTCATGCCTCATTGACAGGCTGGCTTTTTTTTTTTTTAACACCTCAATAAAAGAATCTCCAGAAAGTTGATCTTTACTTCTGTTTTTTATGTCAGCATATATCTTCATTATAAAGGAAAATTGAAAAGCATGTCTTAATTGTTCAGAAGTAACTTTTGTACAAAGAATCCCAAGTAGTTCCCAAGAAACATGTATACACAAATACAATTCATATTCATACACATAAATACCAGTGAATACCTTATGCTCTCCTGGAGTTTTTAACCATTGGGAACTGGTCTATGGACCATACTGTTTCTCTATATTGGTCTCTTTTCCAAAGATTCTTAAAAGAGGAAGCTCTCTTGTTTCAAGAAGTCATTTATAGAAGGAAAGTTTCCCTGCTCATTTCTTTCCAGAAACATACCATACCTTCTGACAGGCCAGCTCAACCAGAGCACTGATAGAAATACCACTGCTCCATTCGAAAGCATGTCCACCACTAAGAGTTCTGACAGCTGGGATGCTCTACTTATCTAGAGCTGAAAACTATATTCACAAGGCTGTCAATCATCAGAGCCAGTGAGACCATGTAACAAACAAGTTCACCCTTTCTTCCAATTAACAGACTTTCCAGGGCAATCCCTCTGGTCCCCTCCCACTGTGGGAGCTCTCTGTCCCCTCAATAAATCCTGCTTTCTGAGAAAACAAAAACAAAAACAAAAAATAGACTTTCCAATATTTGACTATGGATAATCTGTCACCATTAAAATATATCTTCTCCAGCACAAAAATCCTTGGTTAATTCAACACTTTTTGAAGTCTTATTTCCTTGAATATTTCAATCCTGAACCATATTTCCTAGATCTATTATAACGAGGCATTGTTCATCCTAAAGTATGTGGTATGTTGTCTAAAAATGGACTGATCACCTCAATTTTTGTCTGATAGATGCAGAGAAACAAAAACTATTACCTCTCTATAAATCCTTTTCTTCTGTTAATGCAGCCTAATGCACCAAGTACCGTATTTGTAATGTGGAAATTCCATTGGAGTGGAAACTTGATGTGTTGGCAAATATCAGGCTTGCTGCGTAAGAATAATGAAAAGTAATTAAAATAAAGATGCCATGACCACACCCCATAAATTATAACTCAATAGAACTGAGGAAGGTCCTAAATGGTCTAAATTTTTAATTGGTATACATTCAGAATTAGAAAATTCAAAGATAGACATCTGACCCAGCTCAATGCAAGAGGGTTCCGGAAAGCAAAATCATGACTGTATGAGATTAAAAGGAAACATTTCTTGGAGAAAGGGAAATCTGATCCAAGCCCAATGTGGCAAAACTGTGGTTATTCAGCAGAGTCCTTCCTGGCAAGTTGAAACTAAACCCAACCTCCATTTCTCTTGCTAATTGACCCATAGGAAGTCCCTTGTCCCCAGCAGCCTCTGTGCAGATGCATGTAAATAGGTCCTTTGGCAGGAAAGTTTAGCCAGACTCTCACTCCACACAGCATCCACAGAAAAAAAACAACCTTCTCCACAATGATAGTCACATCTTACTTGAGTCTCCTTGGCATTTTGGGGTTCCTCTGGTGTGTGAGTCTCTGGTCATTCATGAGCATTCTCTGTCTGTCATCTGTCATAAAGCTTAGGAGCATGCTTAGGGGGGAAAAGGTGAGTGCTAAAACAATCACAAAACTGTGTGGTGTATAATCAAAATAGTTAATGATATTGACAATAAATTTTAAAAATCCCTTGTGTGCAAATAATTTTAAAGAGCAAATTTTGCTCTTATTTTTTTCCACTCTGTTTTCTCTTTTTTCTAGATCTTTCTAGTGATACCAAACATAAGTTTAGTTTGATTCTGTAGAATATTTATCAAGTATTGTAAAAAGTTGTTTTGAACATCCTTTATCCAGGCAACCCCCTTGGGTCCCCTCCCACTATGGGAGTTTTTCTGTCCCCTTAATAAATCCCGCTTTCTTAAAAAAAAAAAAAAAAGAAGAAGATACTTCATCCATTTACTTTTTTAAATTTTGTTTTCAAATAGGATTTTATCATTATAAAGCATTTTCAGCCAGGTGCAGCGGCTCACATTTGTAATCCCAGCATTTTGGGAGGCTGAGATGAGAGGATGGCTTGAGCCTAGAAGTTTAAGACCATCCTGGACAACATTGTGAGACCTCGTCTCCTAAAAAAAAAAAAAAAAAATTAAATTAAAAAAAAAAAGAGAAAAAAATAAATATAAATCATTTTCCTAAAGATTTTCTACTTTTGTTTTTTGAGATAGGAGGGATCATACTATTATCTTTTTATGTTTTTTTTTAAACAAGTGAGTGTCTGAAGTTCGAAAGCATAACAAGGGACCCAGGACTCAACCCCGTAGATTCTACTTCCAAGTTTAATTCTCTTTTTTCTATGTCACACTGATTTTAACACCAATATGGTATTATTGGTTTAAAATTTAGAGAAAATAATCTATAATTAAAATGTCTTTATTTTATGTATAACATATGACCTGCATGCGCAAAACTCAATTTTGAGAAGGAATCAAAAGGAAAGTTGAGGTCTCCACAAATCATTAACTATCCATAAAGAAAAGCATTAAATATGTTCCCTACTGAGATAATGGATACAGGAAATAGTTTTCAGTGTTCAATTTATGTGAGTAAAAATAAAAATATTTCATACTGAGTATTTCCTCAAAATGATTGTACATTACTCAGAAGCCTTGGTAATTGTGTTTGTATAACTTTCAAATAATCTAAGATAATAATGGTGAATACTGATTTTACACTAGAATTTGTAAAACATGTTTTATGTTTATCATTTCACTTATTCCTCTTAAATCAACTAATGTCCTGTTATCCACTGAGATAGATTTGGTAAGGGTAAGGAATGTACAGAAAACCACAAAGTTAATTAGCATTCCCATCTTGGCCATCTGACTTTATAGGCCAGGTTTTTTTTTTTTTGAGTTGGAGTCTCACTCTGTCACCCAGACTGGAGTGCAGTGGC